ACAATTTTCTTGTACTTAAAATCAGGCCCAGTTTGTGATTTGCTGCTTACTTCTAGAGCATTTTGAGATATTGTAATTTTTGTCAGTGTCCTTTCATAAGGGAGGATAACGCCATAGATCGCTTCATTGCAGGGGCAAAGTTAAAAGGACCCGGAACCAAGAAACTGAAAGCAACAAATTTTGAAATACTGCACTTTCATACAACTACAAAAAAAACTGGGAGGTGGTCCCCAAAAGCTCTTCTTTGTTTTACTTCATTACTTATCCATAGTAGTTAGATAGTACAAATGACATCTAAAGCTACCTACGTAACAACATAGTGCCCAAATTTCGATCGCACTAACATCTTACATAGAACAACTTTTCTAAATTTGTGATTGACAGTTCTGAAAGAAAGCGTTAGATATATTGAATTAGCGTGGTTGTTTGCAATATTATGATGACATTCAAAGAGATGTGACGATGCAACCGTGGCTAGTAACCTGTCATGTCGCAAAGCATCTTATTGTATTCAGCCATCTAAAAAGAATTGTGAATTATATCATTCATACGGCGTCACCAGTAATAACTATTCACTCACATGTAAGACCCGCCTAGATCAGCATGCCATGAACCCTTGAAGCAGGTAATGAGAGCTCTGACGTTCTTTCCAACAAGTGGGTAGCTGGTTTCTTCATTCATCTAAGGGCAAAACTCACCATAGCAAATTTGCATGGGAATAAAATAGAAAGTCTTACCACCATATTCGATTTGGTGTATCCGCTAGGAGTGTTGCAAATCACATACATTTGCCTACATCCTCGTTTATCATTAGGCAGCATTCTGAAATAAATTAAACTATTAATTAGCAAAAAATATTCACATTAATTTTTGCAAAAATTGAGTTCATATCAGTCAGTAAGTTAGTAAAAATGGTTTTTTTTTCAAATTGTTGTACTAATTAATGAATGATACCTGAAATATTTAGAAGCTGCTTATTGCATTTCTTTACTGCAACAAGAAGATGACTTTGCCCATAACCAATACTTAAGAAATCTTTTCACAGTAAGGGGTTTATCTCACTTGATTACAGGAGTTATTGAACCTGGCGTTCCATCAGCTGGGGTTAGGGTAACTGCACGAGGTAGACATCGTCCACATACTGAGATTGCAAATACATGTAATTTTACTACCCATATTGCTATCTCGAAGGTACTGAGACGGAAATAGCGCAATAAAGTTGAGTCGTAGACTTTATAAACTTACATGGTACCGGTTTTGTAGTAGCCGCCTGAAAATGAACTATTCACTAATTGGAATTATGGGAAAGACAAGGCGTGAGTTTGAATTTGATTGGACTTTGCTGCTAGCGAAATGACTATCCAGAATCTTGAGCCACAAAACTTAAATTATCTGAAATGGAACATTGACATACCTGTGAATACGATAATAACGAAATTATCAATACCATAAGGGCCACCATTTTGACAGACATCTAAACAAAAGTAATTGAGATCTGCATGTATATCATTTGACAACTTGTTCCTCTTAGTTTTATGAAAAAATTTGAAATCGGAGAAAAAATGGAAGTTTCAAGCATGAGCCTTTTCGCAGTGTATAATTTGAATATTGCCACCATATAAAAGGATTGTTGGAATCAGCTGTTTTTGATCTGATAGATTATGTTTCCTGTTTTTGGTAAACAGTGGGATTAAAATGCAAATTCTTGAAGTGATATCTTTGCTGGCTGCGAATATTAGCACGTCACACCAGGAAGAAATATGGGGTAAATTTTTCTACGTGCATTTCAATAGTGTTCCCATCAAGAATTAAGCTTGAGAATCTAGAATGTCTAGAAACTAAGCCTTTATTATATCTTCCACTTTAGAGAATTGTTGAAAATCGAAAAATGTAGATATTTGGAGTAAGCGTAAGTGCCAAGCCTCGTTTTTGATAGAAATAGCACTTCTTATTTGTTTTTCAAGCCAATATAGTTGCTCTTTGATTAATGATAGCATTTGCTAATGACGTTGATGATCCTTTTTGAAAAAAAAAATTCTGAAATTTCTTGTAGACAGCCTTCCTTTTTGGCAATAAATGGAGTGATCAAATCACATCATTACTTATAATGAAGCTTAATTTGTCTACTTATAATGAAGCGGAGTGTATGTATGTATGTATGTATGTATGTATGTATGTATGTATGTATGTATGTATGTATGTATGTATGT